CATCCGTCGCTCGTTTGTCCAACTCGCAGCAATTGTCGCAATTGCAATTGTATGTGGCCCAGTGTTTGGGCCACTCGAGGTAAGCGGCTTACTCTGCCGGCATTTCACTTGGCTCAGATCCACTGAAAATCTTTGCGGTGTGGGATGTTCGTCAGTCACGAAACTTGAGACTTCTGACTAAACAGCACTCATTGTCTGTTCTTCCTTTATCAAATAATTATGGTCTCATAAGGATTGAGTGAAGAAAATTTGTTTAAGCCATCGTTTCAGTTCTGAAATCAATTCCTATTGACGATTTAGGTTGTTTGTCATCTTTCCAATAATTTATAAAGTATATTCTAGAATAATATTCTCATACAGTAGTTCCCCAATTTTCCTGTTGATTTCTGTTAATTTTTAATCAACTGCTTACTGCTTAACAGCACGTTCCACCGGAAAATCCACTAAGTGGGTGTGGCGGGGTCGTAAAAACTGATTTTAATGCCCAGCCGAAACTATGGGGCAGTTCCAAGCCATCCTCGCCTCCGAGCAGCGTCTTTGTCTTTTACAACCTTTTGTCAGTCGTTAATTTTTATGTTTATAGCGCAAATTCTCGCCTTGCTGCACACACGCTCACTGAATTTTCAAAAACCGCAAAATGGCGCACCAATTGTTGGATCGAGGGGTAAATTTCGGGGAGCAGTTCGACGTCGTTCAAGGTAGTTAAAACAATAACAATTAGCTGCAAGTCAAGTCGTTCGCCACACGCAGAAATTAATTAGCGAGCGAAAGAAGCCCCTTTCGAGGTTGGGTTCAGTCCGAAAGTGAGTTTTGCTTGGGGCAGGGAGTGAGGTTGGGTTTCTTCCAATCCAAGCACAAAGTGCAACAAGCAAATCGGAAAAGCCAAAGTTAAATTATTGTGCTGACTGGACTGAAGGCGGCGGGTTTGGGTGGCAAATCTAATCAAAGTAGTGAAAACTTTCGACCGGAAAAATTGCACATTGAAAGTTTGTCCGCCTCTTCGGGGAAACTTTTTCTGGCTCTCTAACCCTCTATCTGTCTCCTTTCGTGGGCGAAATAATTGCCAAAATGGAAAGCCAAAACTTAAACAAAAACGCAGACATTAATGAAATTTTGATAAACTTTTGCCAGGAACTCCAGTGCAACAATGAAACAGGCGAAAAATATTGGAAGGAGACGGAGTTAAGTGCAATTTGAGCAGACAAATCAGAGCAAATTATGATTTATTGAATTTTAATTTACTGCCAGTGCAGAAAATTTCCCATAAATATTTGAAGATTCTCAGCGCAAAGCCAAAAACAGAATCAGAATTTACGCTCATTGCGAAGTCTGTGGGATGTTCGGTTCGGTTCGAGTGCTTTGCAACCCTCAGAGGTGGCTCAAAAGTACAGTCGCCCCAGCTTTTTAGTCCTGCGCGTGCCTGACTCACGCATTATTCAGCAAATCGGAAGTGGGCAGGGGAGCAGCTGCCAGGAGTCGGATTCTGTTTGATTTCTGGGCATGGGTTTGCCCAGGAATTTGGCAAACGTGCGTGTGCGTATGCAAATCGCCGGCCACATGTCATTTCTGACCATTTCCGCCGAGAAAACAAAGGGGAAATAAAGGAATTTCTGGAACGACGTTCAGGATACCCTTTAAGATGATCCTCAGGCCAAGTAAGAGAGGTTTCAATTCATACCGAGTAAATCAGGGAACGTTTTTAGATCATTAAGTAACTGTATTTTACTTTGATTATTGACTATACAAAACATAACTTATTAAACTGGAAACAATATAGTTACTTCGCAGAACAACAGATTTTTTTTTAAATTTATACTTAAAACTATTTATAATACCCACACGGAGGGTATTAAAATAACAATTACGATAGCAACCCCTTAGTGACTAAATTGGGGTGGCTCTTTCTTTCGGATTCCAGCTTCCAAATGGGGTGCCTTATGCGACTTGCGAACTTTTTTGCAACTTGTTTTTACCCACTGACCTTGAAAAGTGAATTTATGCAAATTGAGCAGCTGAAAAATCAACAAAATCGTTTAAGGGGTGGATGCAAACCAGGATCAGGTTACTCTAAGGTATTATGCTGGGCCATCCCCCTGTGAAAACCTCAGTGAAATCGCGAAAAATTGCATTATTTAGAGACAGGGGAAAACAACAACAAAGGACGGGATTCACTTGCTTATCAGCGATTCGCTTATCGCGAATTTCCACATGGAAATCCATTAGTCAATCCGCTGTCTTGTTGGCATATTTGTTTGCCTGTAAGCCTCTTACCTCACCACTCGATTAGAGGGCTAATCGAGCGATCCCCTAGGAAATATCCCCCCGTTCCGAGATGATTGAACAAATTGCTCAGAGAGCTATCAATTTCCATTATCGTTTTTACTTAAATATATTTATTTTCGTATTTACACTAACTAAAGTAGATAATGTAGTGTGCTCATCTTTATAGTGAACCTTAACCGTGCAAACGTTTGATTAAATTACAAAAACATTCAATAATCAATTATCAAAAGCTGGCAGACTAAATGGTCAGCTTATTCCAATTTAATTTGAAAAGAGGATTAATTGATATCATATATAACAATTGAATACTTAATACATTTTATTGGGAAGTGGGCATTGGCACTGAACATTGTGATATCCAACAATTAACGAGCTGTTCAAATATTAACATTGCGATAAAGATTCTACTTTGGCCCGTCCGTCGCTGCAAAAATTTGTTAATGAAAAATGCAAACAATTTCGCTTCTTGGCCTGTCTGCCTTGCCACCGAAAACATGGCGAAAACAAAAGGCCAGGAGACAAGACTTTTCATTAAAATTGCACTGGCGCTGGGAGGTGGAAGGGGTGAAGGGGCGAAGGGGTGAAGGGAGGGGCTTACCGAGTGGGTGGTTCGAGGATTATTTATGGGGAGCCTGGCGGAAGCTGTCGGCGCAGCTGCCTTTCAGTGGCTGCAAATGGCATTGCAATAAAACGAAATTAAATTGCTATTTTGCATACATATTATGTGTGTCCCGCCCGTCCTGGACACGCACACACACACACACACACTTGCCCACAGATGGGTTTCATATTCATAGTTGTCTGGCTGGCGAACAATAACCAAAATATCCCGAATCCTTTGACAACATCTGGCCTTTCGAATAGTTTTAAACCCCCGCCATCATCGAAAACTCAGACTCAACCCTTTGTAATTGCTTGTCGCTTTTATTAAAATGCATAAATTAATAGAATAATTTTGGGGCAAAGACACCTTTTTATTGCCAGCGTTTAGGGCACGTGTGGAATGGCTGAGTGAAACCAGTTTCGGTCTCCGCAATTTGTGAGATGGCTTATGGCCAAACAATTACAAATGGCAAAGTTAAGATCCTGGCCAAGTGAACTTCAAATGACCGCAATTAGCTACCCTTGCCCCACATTATATGGGAACATACACTGAGAAAATAATGATAGGAGTAACATTAGATGGATTAAAAATCTTTTAAATATGTATAATAATGATTTACAGCATTAAAAACTAAATACAAATTAGTAACGCTATTTATTAACTTCAAATACGAAGAGATTATATTGAATGCGATTCTTTTCTTACGGTGTATTCCAAGGGCTTAACGAAACTCATTGAAACAGCATCTATCCGCAAATCAGGGTAATTAATATTAAGTGGATTATTATTTAATGACCACTGCACGCACTCGGAGACACTGAAGAACCACTGGGAAGCACCCCAACCACCTCGACTTGAGTCCCATTCCGTCCTAACTGTTATGATCCCGAACGGAGTTTTCCCTTATGGTTGTCATATTCTAATTACACGAGAGCACGCAGTTATTACACGGATTCGTTTTATGCCGCAGATACGGATGCTGCGATTTGATGACCCCTGACCCCAAACCACCGGAGTAGTTATAGCGGCATTAAAATGGCAAATTGACGTTCATTTCACGTGCTAGTGGACCGTATCCGGATGTTCGGTGATATGAGCACATAGTCCTCATTGAATGGGCGTCGCTAATTGATAAATTGCCCTGATGCGTGGCTGGGATCCATACAAAAGATGGGGCCACGCTTACTTCACAAATAAATGCCCTCTAGAATGTGATTCCAAGAAAAAATGCTTTTTCGGAAGTGATTAGTCAAAGCTTATTTTTACTATATTTAGCAAGCTAACATACGTTACGTTTATATTATTAAATCCTCTTGCTATATACATTTTTCTGATCAACGGGAATTAAGAGAAATATTCCCATATTTTTGTTAATAGGTCAGGAAAGGGAGAAACAGTCGGCGATAAGAAAACTACGATGCAAATTCAGAGGACCATAAAAATCATCTGAGATTGCATTGCCTTACGTAAGATTGTGACTTCCACGTCATCGGAGGCCCCCCTTTTAGTCATCAGACGGTCAAGATGGCGCCTGAATCGCCATGTCGCCGGAACTTTTCCGGACGGAACAGAAAAGTCGTGTGCACCAGACAAGCGATAAGGTAGAGAGAGCACCCATTTAAACAAACGTGGCCCTTTTTATCAAGCGGAGGAGTGTGGTACTGATAAGATTGTTAGCCTCCTTTAAGCATCTGAGATTCCCAGAAAGATTATCACACTGTCAAATAACACAAAAATGAAAGACCAAAAGTGAAGGCCAAGCCATCCTTGGATATCCATTCTTTTTGAAAAAACCATATTTACCACATATGCATGTACGTCGGTGTAGGTCTGAATAGTTTATTTTAATTTCTAGAAACGGATGTCTAAAAATAGTTTTATATTTCGTCATCTGAAAAAATGTAAACCATACGCAAGAACACTCTAGAACATTACAACGTGGGGGTTTTTAAAGAATTTTGCGATTGTAAGTTCCATTGTTCCATATGGTATCCAAAGTACATAACCAGCTATCAGCGGAAAAAAAAAAACGCAAATAGACGCCCGCAATGTAAATAGCGAGCAAACCAGATCACTCTCAAAAACCTTATCATAAGAGGAAAACAATCTGCTGTTTTACTAGTTGATATTTAGTTACTTTGTTGTGTTTATTTGTTCAAGCGGTAACATACAATCTAAAGATACATTTGCTGGGGCGAGTTGCTAACTTATTTATGATAACATTATCACAATCTTGTGTGCTGGTAAATCAAGGTGAACTTGGGAAACCGGGGTGTAAATCATTTATTTTTGGCTGCTTGATAATGCTGCTGCTGCACTGCGATTTATTGATGAACAAACCAAGGAAACAAATTAATTTATAAGGGATTTAACTGCGATATTTTTGCGGGATGATGAGAGCAATTTTGAGGGAATAGTGTAGGAGTGTTGCGAGGGTGTATCGCCCGGTCTTTACTGCTTCTGCAGGTACTCGTCGAACAGGTAGACGGACAGAGATGGATCCGGAACCTTCATCAGCTTGGCGAGGTCGTTGGCATATCCGGACAGCTTGCGCACGCTGTCGGCCTGTTTGCCCAGGAAGTTCTCCTCGATGTAGTGGGCCAGCTCGGGGTCCCGGTCGGCATCGGCGGCGTGGGTGGCACGGGAGTGCACGTGGGTGGCTCCACTGGCCAGCTGCTTCTCGGTGTCCAAAGCCAGAGCCAGGGAGTGCAGTTCATCGACCTCCACAGTGTTGCGCTTGGTGCTCACCGAGGCCGGAGACTCGTGACGGGTGTTGAAGTCCACAACTCCGCCGCGGCGGGTGATCTGCTTGATCAGGGCGATGCTATCGTCGAAGGAGCGGTCCGAGAGACCCTGGTACAGCTTCTGGAATCCGGGGCGGTTCTTCTGGTAAGAGTTGAAGTGGGTGGCCAACAACAGATAGTCGTACGACTTGGTCAACTGGGCGTTGATGTAGGCCTGGATCTCGGGCTCCACATGGTCGATGCCAGCGAATCGGGCATTACAAATGGAGTTGCCTAGGGGAAATGGGGAGAAAATTAACAAAAAATTCAATCCCTTGCTCTTTTTGAATGCCTCAGTATAATTGTTTCTTTAATCAGCCGTTTGAAGGTTACCAAATTAAGTTGTCTTAATGCAAACGAAAAGCTATTAAAATCAACCAAAGACTAGTGCAGAAAAAATTTTTAAAGGTGCTAAACAGTAGTAAAGATTTCACTACAGAATGTTTTAACGTGAATTCGAACTTAGATTTTTCTTAAACATTTAAAATATTTGTCACTTACTTTTGCCTGTAAAAAAGCCAGTGAGCGCTTGTACTTTTATTTTCAAAAGATTAAAGAGGCAACAACAAACAAAAACAAATTATGTTCTCTTCACCCATGCTCTTTCCCTTAGAGGCTTTTCTCTGTACTCACCGGAGAAGGCTGACGAAGCGCAAGCGGTGATAACAGTGTTTTGGCAATACTCTTCATCCTTGGCCAAAGCAAGAGAGCTGAGGCTCGCAAAGAGAGCGAGAGCAACGAAAAGTTTCATCTTTACGGCTGGTTACTGTAAATTAAAATCAAAATCGAAACGAAAAACAAAGAAATTAGTTTCACAACAATTGACAATTGAAAAACAGCCACTTTTGTTTTCGTTTAGCGTCGGAAAGGTTCTTTTGCGTCGTAGCGTTTTCTTGAATTTTCTCGACGACCCCCCCTCTTTGTTTTCTTTACAGCAAACCACCACCAACGGAATGTTATTGTGTTTCATTGTTTTTGTTTTAAATGTTTTTGCGGTTTGAACTTTGTGTTCTTTAAATGTTGTTTAGGCTAAACACTAAACACTTGTTAATAATTGAGAAAACTCACTTCAGTGTGTTTTAATTACGCTTTAAACTCGCTTTTTGGTGCTGCTTGTTGGGGCTCTGGAAATGAACTGCTGTTTATAGCAGTCGCGTTCGTCTCTTTCAATGCGATCGATAAGGCTGTGTGTGTGTTTTTGAGAGCGCTTGTCGTTTTGCGCTCAGTGCGGAGATTTTCGATGTCATTCAAACATGGCCGCTTCGTGGTGTTGTTTTTGTTGCCTTCTGGAAAGTGAGTCACGGCAGGGTTGTCAGCGTGTGCAAAACATGGGCACTGCACTTTGGGCTCAAGAGGTTTCTTCAGATTTTTATCGGTCAAAGAGGGAGATTTGGTACTTTATTGATAATTGGTTGAATAAATGTTAATTAAACTTTATTTTGAATACGGCGGTGAAAACATTTATGTGTTATGTGTCCTATTCAATTTCATTTTTGTTGTGATTCAATCTGTTTGCATGTACATGATTATTGGACTGTTCAGAACTAGCTCTGATATTTATGTTAAATTTAAAAACAATTTAATTCTGCATGAGTCTGCTAATAATATAGGGTTTTTCTAAGCTGTTATGTAACAGTTTTCCCAGCATACTCCCCCTTATCAAGTGTCATGTCTAGGGCCCTGCAACCGACACCTAAAAAGCGCCGTCGCCATCTTTAGGAGTTATCAAAGTTACTGATTGATCCCCCCGCCGAACGTGACAAATCAACTTGGCTAAATAGGAATTAAATTGTCAGTAAAATTCACGATGAAATTAAACCGCTTGGCAACCCATGACGTGTTGCTCTCCCGCAGCCAAAACAAAAACAATGAACAGCTGACGCAGGGTGCAAAAGAGCGGCCATATTGCATTCGGATTATTAAATGCGATTATCTGAATAGGAACCCCGACTTTCCTTACAAAGTATTCCCACATTGAGGACGTGTGTATCAAAAAATTATATGCGTATTCAATAATCGGCCATTTAAACGTTTGACAAAGAAAAAGGCGACATGTTGGAAAGATAACCATGCACACTCTCCCACTCACGCACACACAGAAAAAAACCGAGAGCGAGCGCGTTTAAAAGTGTTTTGTGCGCCGTTGTGAGCTACAGTTCGTTTTCGAGTTTCCCCCACAACACAAAGCAAGAGGCATTAGCTCCACTGAAAAATCAGATTAAAGCTGTCAACCAGAAGGTACTGGAAGCCATTCGAGGAATCAAAGTAATCCCAATCAAGCCCATCAAATTGAAGCAGGCGACGCCTTCTACGCCAGTGTGTGTAACGGCAGCTAGATTCGATAAAGAGAGCGGCCTATTTAACATTGTAGCCAAGCTCCAGTCGCCTCATTCTCATTTGTGCATTTCAAGCAAAACAAACTAAAAGTGACAAATTTGTTCTGTGATTTTGTGCTAAAGACTTTCGACGAACAAAAGATGGTGAAATTAATCGCTAGCCTGCTGCTCTTGGCCGTGGTGGCCCAGGCCTATGGAGACTTCAAGTGTAAGTACCATTATTTAGCATTTTGTTTGAATTTCAAACAAAACAAAGGCAGGTCAGCGGAAAAACACAATAAATTTCGACGCAATAAGCAAAGAGCAAAAAAACAGTGTGATGCGTGAGCAAAGAGAGCATGCGCGGTTTCTCTTAGCCCTTTTACACTCTCTTTGGTGGAGTATCCGAACCAGTTTGTTTTTAAAGTTATTGATTCTTATTTGCTACCGTTATGACTTTGGTGAAATGCAAACCAGTTTTTACAAATTAATTTGCCATGCTAAATTATGCGAATTTCGCTTTCATTTCCATGAATAAAACAGCTAAATCAGCTTGACCCTTGTTGCTACATTGCCAAGTTCACTTGAAGCTCCCTTTGCACACGGCTTGGGATGTGCGAGGGAGATAGAATGTGTAAGCATGCTTTTTGCACACGGCTCCAAACCAAAACAAATGCCGTTACTATGGCGCAGAGAGCTGCGCACGTTACCAATGCAGTTACAAAGAGAGCGAGAGAATGTAACGCATTGCAGTTTTGCACACGGTTTTTTTGCCCTAGAATAGCGGTACTTCAAGCGCAATTTCCAAGGTTTATGCAATACCGCCCTCTTAAATGTAGTAACGCAACCCCTTCCCTCAGCCAAGCACAAAAGCAAGAGTTTCGCTAAAGAACTAAGTGAAGAGAGAGAACGACAACAAAAGCAAAACCCCAACTATGATGAAGGTCAAGATCAGGGGTGCAAAGGTTTCTGTAAACAATATAACTTTACCTGAGTCAAGCTTACAAAGTCAAATTTTCTTTGGTGTTAAATTATAAATTTATAAATTTTATTTTTTATGGTTAAATTTGACTTAAGTTGGCTGCAATACTGTTACTGACCCCCACTAACTTTAAACCAACCCCATTACAGGCTCCTTGGCTGTCCCCGAGATCACCAAGGACTGGGTGGATATGAAGGACGCCTGTTTGAAGGGAATGCGGCACCAGATCCAGGAGGAGATCAACGCCTCCTACCAGTACTTGGCCATGGGTGCCTACTTCTCCCGCGACACCGTCAACCGCCCCGGATTCGCCGAGCACTTCTTCAAGGCCGCCAAGGAGGAGCGTGAGCACGGATCCAAGCTGGTCGAGTACCTGTCCATGCGCGGTCAGCTGACCGAAGGAGTGAGCGATCTGATCAACGTGCCGGTAAGTCTACTCAATCCCGGAAGTGCTCTTAGCCAGCCCACTAATCCTGGTGACTCCCCCGGCAGACCGTGGCCAAGCAGGAGTGGGCCGATGGTGCCAGCGCTCTGGCCGATGCCCTCGACCTGGAGATCAAGGTCACCCGCTCCATCCGCAAGCTGATCCAGACCTGCGAGGGCAAGCCCTACAACCATTACCATCTGGTGGACTACCTGACCGGTGTCTACCTGGAGGAGCAGCTCCACGGACAGCGCGAACTGGCCGGCAAGCTCACCACCCTCAAGAAGATGATGGACACCAACGGCGAACTGGGCGAGTTCCTGTTCGACAAGACCCTGTAAGGAGGTGGAGATATCGTGGAGCAGCCCAGTCACGCATCAAAATTATCAGCCAGTCGAGTTCATAGTGTTCTGTTATCTGTTAGCCGAGGGAGCCTTCCCCGAGGGTCCGCCATTAAATCACCACCAAGTCACCGAAAAGCTTTCGCGTTCCACTCTTTGACTGGCCAATAAATTATCCGTACGACTGCGATCCTCAAACCAGCACAGCAAAATTCCACGTCTGTCTTTCTTATCAACGCACGCGAGGAGTCTAAAGTGATTATGTTCTCTGATTTGTGATTTTCCGTATACCTCGGGAGGGGCTCCGCTTATGCAATCGCCGAGATTTCGCCTAGTTTTAAGTGAAATCACTTAGGAAGACACTCAACACACCCCATTTAATACATCCTATATCTTTATATTTTTCTGTCAATTAGACGAGCAAGTTCTTAAATAAATAAACAATATATGTAACGAAGGAAATATCATATGGTTTTTTACTAAAGAGGGGATATTGCTTATTTTTTTGCTTGTCGGAAATAAGTTGTAGAGACTTGTATTGGAGCTGATTTTTGGGCAGCTTATATGGAAAAGTGCTTTGAATCTACTTTTTGGTTCGTAAATTATACTCGCCAGATTTCTAAGGCCTCTGGAGAATTCGATTAAGTGCAGATCATATGATATCCCATTTGATTGAAGCACTTTAGTCAAAGATATATTTTCGCTAATTTTTCCTCTCTCCGTATAGAATCATCTGGCTAAGAAGATAATATTGAGGTCCGTCCCCTTAACCGATTAACCCTTTATTGTCCCATGACAATGCACTTGATGAGCCGTATCTGGGATCACGTCTCGCCTGTCCATCAGTGGCCAGTGCCTAATGGTTTGTTCGCATCGCAAATTCCGTTTGATAAACGTCGGCATCTTCGACTGGAGTCCCATTATTGACCCTTTCATGTAGTCACCTCCCACTAAGGATAACCCCTCACTCACAACCCCTTTTCCCCTTTCCCAGTTTAATCTGATTTGAAAACACAAAAAGGCAACCATAAAGGGGAGTTATGCGAGACGAAGGCTGCACTGAGAAAAAATCGACAGATACAAGAAAGCAGTAGAGGCTTGTCGAATGTTGGCCTACAAATATATTATTTTCATCCTTCCATTTCTTAATAAGCCAGACATGATAATATAGTTTTTTTTTCTTATTTTTATCCCTCTACTCAACCGTTTTGTTTTGTTTTCAGTGTGCGACTTGCAGATGGCCAATTCCAAGTACAAAGAATAATTCATAAGTCACTTGTAAAAATGTCCACAACCATTGGACTTATCCACCCCCTGCCTTTCCCTCGGGCTAATGTGTGCTCGATTCACCCTTTCGATGTCCATGTCCGTGTCGATTCGAGTGATTGACAGGACATGCCATGCATTGAATTATGATAAATTGTGGCAACTGTCAAAAGACTGTGCTTGGGTTTCCTGCCCTCCGACCAAAATCAGGTCCGTTTTCGGAGCGTGACCAGAGTGAATGGGTTAGTGCCTGGCATTTTAAACAATTTCATAAGCTAATATTTGAGCAGATGTCCTTGTTCGTTGCGGATTTAAAATTGCATCAATCTGGTTCGACAATGGGCCGCAAATTTTTTGATAAGCGCCTCAAATATTTAAGCGCAATTCGTTCGATTGACCAAAATGGGGCGGAGTTTTTTGGGTGGTGTGTCCGGCATACAAATTCGCCATGACAGTTTTGGGCCGACTATTAATCTTGGCCAACGGTTGCCAACTTTTGTTCATGCCTTTCGACCAATTTGCCAATGATTTTTATTGCATTTCTTATGACTGCTACTTTTTGTAAGAGATGGAAGCCCTAGTATTTTTGAATCGACTCTGAATTTCTTTTTGTATTTTTTAGGGTAAAAAGAAAGATAGCCAGCCAATTTTGTAGTGAAATATTCCAGGCCGAGACGTGCCAGTGATTCATCCTGCGCATATCCTTCCGATAAAAGTGACTGCACGCTTATCGCACTGACATTCGTCCTGCTCCTCGTTCGCTGACAAATTTGCAACGCCGACCAGGACAATAGGCATGAAATGTAAATGAGAGTTGGCAATATGGATGTCCTGTCCGCTCTTCGGATCCCGGATCAAACCGAACCTAACCGAACCGAACCGGTTCTGACTTCGAGTGGCAGCAGCCAGCTCCGCAGGACATTCGCCGCCTGCCGCCGGGAGATGATTTATGTCCGGATAGTTCCTTTGTCTTTCACTCATCTGAACTCCACTGCTCTCACTCCGATTGTTTTCCACTTTCTCCGCTTGTTTGCTGTTCTCACCATAAATCTCTGGACGCCCATTGAGGAGTGACAGGCGTAGCCCCCGGGAAATCCTTTCAAACCGGTTGAAAAAGACGAGCGAGGAAATGGAAGCGGAAGAGTAGAAAGGATCAAGTACTTCGATCGAAAAAAATTGTATAGAGACGAAGAGATAGCCGCAATAAATTCGTAAATATCTTAATATAAATCATGCTATATAAATGTTTTAAAGTACCTTTCGGAGTTCTACTCAATTTGCATTCACTCAGCCAGTTTGTTCAAATTCTCAAGAATTAAAGAGGGAATTTGAGGTCCTTGCACTTTCTTGGCTCGCAAACTCAATAATAACCCATCCTTAGACCTGTGTTCATCCTTCGATTCACTTTCCCCACTCTCACTCTCAGAAAATTTGTTGGTAGCCCACTAGACTTGAGGCTGCATCACGAAAATGATTAAAATTCAACAAACATCGGTCAGGAGAATTCGAGGAGCATCCAGCCACGGAGCCATTGTCGCCTCAGAATCTCACAGCTTTAGCCCACAGCGTTATTGAAATGTCTTAGCAGCTGTCCAAACATCCTTCCTCGCCAAATCCTTGCAGGGGAGCAAAGGATTCTGCTGATTTAGCATATTGACTCCTTGCCAAGGAGCGAACTTATACAAGATTTATGCGCCCGACGCACGCCAGGCGACAGTCGAGATAAAAAGGATTCGTATAACTCACGCCCAGCGAAAGGACAACCAGAATGGTTCTACAGAGAAAGAAATCTTATTGCAATTATATACTTTAAAATGACAATGAATAACCTATATTCATTAGGGGAGGGTGGTCCCATACCGACCCCCTAAAAGGCAAAAGCGACAAAGGTGAGAAAAATCAATTTTTCAGTTCAGTTCAAAAATTTACTATGTAGAGGGATCAGTTTACTATACATCTAAATGATTAGTAAGTGCGTAGGTGCTTTGAAGCGTTAGATATTCAGGCAAATATAAAACTCTACTTTTTGGTCGTACTCAAAAGTAGTGGTCCGAAACCGACCCCCTATTTCTTAACAGAAAAATTTAATAACATAAAATAGAATTTAATGATTTTGACGTTTATTAAGAAATATATTGAAGGTTCTTTCCAGAAAATAAAAATTAATGTATGATATAAAGGGCACTGTAGTCAATTGATGAAGTCTGAGTTGTCCTCTTTCTCATAGTAAGTTTTCACGTTGTTTTCGCGTTGTTTTTCGAAAGCCGCTCGTTGATGACTGTCTCTTCGCTTTCTTCTGATGTGTTTTGATGTTTCTGTTACTTTTCTTTACTGAATCTTGTATACTTTTTCATATTTTCCCTCAAAAATACGCTATGACATATTAAGCTGCCAATAAATGGGGGTCGGTTTCGGACCATCACCTAGCGGTCGGTTTCGGACCACCACGACCTTTTCTGATTAACTGCTCGGCATTAACTAAAGACGCAAAGAGCGATGTAATTCTAATTATGTGAGTGAAAGCTAGGACTATCAACGATCAGAAAAATTTACTCTCCGATTTTTATGCGGAGAAAAAAAATTTAAGCTCAAGTTCAGTAAAGCTCAAAAATAAATGTCACAGGCGTTGAAACAAAACAAACGGAAAAATTGCAGTGAAACAAAATAAGTCAAAGTGGCTATCTATCTCCAAAATGTCTGTGTTATAACAGCTTTTCACTGAAGTTTTCGACAATTCGGCTAGCATCGCCATCTCTGAGAAACATGGGGGGGTCGGTATGGTACGACCGGTCGGTATGGGACCACCCTCCCCTACTATTTTTTCATATTTCTTACACTATTTCTTTAGGATTAAAATAAAGAGTGCTGCAAGAAAACTTCAATTTTATTCATTATAATTTTTTTCTGTGCAGAATAGAAAATGTTTGGTGTGGGGAAGGCAGTGCAATAAATTGGATTTGCATATTAGCACACTACCAGAAGAGGAGGCGGGCTAAATGGGGAGGCTGCACCCTTTCATCTGGGGAATTCCAGTGGGGAAGGGCGGGTGACCACTGACCCTGTGTTCTGGGGGCGGTGGGTGCCAACGGCCATTAGGCAGAGCGTCTTAAGTACGAAATCTTGCCTAAATTGGAAATAAATCATTAAAAATATGTCCGCAAACAAGAGAGGAGAAGGGGTATCCTGAATCCTTTGAGCTGTTTGCCGAAAGGGTTTGCGACAATTTCCGGAATTTGCGGCATTCACATGTGGGCAGAAGTTTCGGGGGGTTGGAGAAATGGGCTTGTAATTCCCTTTGATTTATAAAGATAACGACGCAGTGTCGTGTTTAATTTGGAGCGCACCTTCTCCCACTCTGGTAGTCACATAAATCCTGGAACAGGACTCTGGTCCAACTGGTCAGGCGGAGTATGACTTATGTGGCCGGGCCGCAAAGTTTGGTAATTATGCATGCCCCAGACATATTACTTTCGCTATAGTTCGCTCCTCTTTGTCTTAACATAGCTGGGCATCTTCAAAGGGGGTGGACATTTTTTAACTGACCACTTTCATTGGCACAAGGGAACTGCCAAAGTTTTGGCCCACAAACTTTGGCTTGACATGGCTGAGATAAAGATTAGGTCCTGTCCCCTGCACTGAGATAGAAAACTTGGAAAGCAGAAAGTCGGAATATAAATTTACAAAATGTAATAAAGACCTTTTTTCATTTATTTTTCTTCAAATATGTTCGAACATGATTTTACTTGCTAATTAAAAACAAAAGTTATTTCTTGCTTTGAAGTTATTAGTTTAACTGGGAAAGTAAATAAAAACTTTTTGGCAGTGCCGTAACTTTTACTATCGTCTGTTGTGTTTATTGCCGGTCCCTCTGACTTTTTACACCCAGCAGTTCAATGGCCAGAAGTATCAACTACGAATTTCCCCAGAGGGTCATTCCGTGGCGAACTTATGCACCCAGGTTGGCATCGGGGGATCGGGATCAGGATCTGAATGGAGGGCAGGTTCAGTCACTTGGGAGGCCAGTCGAATAAAAAGCTGATTTGCATGCTTCTCCGCAGCCCCGCTCCTCGAACATTAAAACTAAAGAGCAGCCTCAGCAGCAGGACATGAGAAAGGACCTGCAACGTGTGAGGTTAAATAGATTTGCCGTGGGGACGCGGTGAAGGGGACTCCCCTTCAGTCTGCCTCACGCGCAG